AGCAGGGGGCACATGAATGGACAGACAGATAATCGAACAGACGGACAGACAGAGAAAGATAAGAGGGTCTGTGAGTGTATGGGCATGACAGAAAGAGAACGTGAGACCACAAGATGGAAACACTTACTGCAAAATGCCGCCAGAAGCAGTGCCAATGTTTGGCCTGCAGTTGCCACACAGAGACAAGTGGAGCGTGGTAATCCATACTTGTGAAGGAGAGTCTCTGAGGCTATCCTGCTCGGTACAAGAGCACAAGACATGACCAGAAGTGGCAAACAAGTTCAGCATAGCATTCACAGCTGGAGCTTGAGTCCACCCCCACCCCATAAGGCTGAATTGTATACACAAGTAACTCTTTCTGAACAGATCATCAGTTCGGATCATAAGGAAATGAGCAATGCAATAATGTGAGGCACAACCGCCTCAAAAAATGAAGAAAAAAAGCCCGAGTTGAAGTGTGAGTTCATATTTTCGGCATCTGATGAAGGGTTTGGTAGTGATGGTTAACGGTGGCTCAGATGGTGTTGGTGTGTGGTATTGTGCTTCCCTAACGTTCATCCTCTTAGTCTCCTCTGCTTCCCCCATACAGCTCTCCACCAGTGTTCCACCTCTTTCATAGAATTGAAAAAAAAGGACATGCCTGAAGCAATATTGGCAAGGAAGAGATTCACCGGTTATTTTTCATCAATCAAGAAGCATAGGAAGAATGCTAAGCAAGAGGCAGACAGGTAGGAGCGGGAGGAGGAGGAGGAGGAGGAGGAGGAAGTGTAGTAGGGAAGGGAGGAGGAGAGGAAGAAGAAGGAGGTGGTTGGTATTTCCATCCATCCAGAAGCAGAGGAAGTAGCTCAGCAAGAGGGACAAGAACTCGATGCTCACAGAGCAGGACAAGTGGGAGGAGGAGAAGGAGAAAGAAGTGAAGGCGGCGGGGACGGAAGGAACAAGAATGGTTGTTATTTCCATCCTAGCAGAGGGGGGTAGCTGAGCAAGAGGCACAAGAGCCCAAGGTTCACAGAAGAGGAGGAAGAGGAGGAGGAGCAGCAGGAGGAAAGGGAGGCAGAAAAAACGACGACGAAGAAGAAGAACCCCCTTTTGGCAAGCCCCTTTGATAGACACCATTTGGTGAGACATTACCAAATTCAAAGATAAGGCCGGATTTGGGAACACCTCGGTGCGGGCAGAATTGGCCCACTGTCAAAAAGAAAAAGAGACCCCCCGGCCCCCCTTTTGCTATTGTCCGGGTACATTGGGTGGGTCCCCAAGTTTGCCCAATGCCGCTCAGCAGGGCTACCCAGGCCAAGACTCCTTTTGTAGCCTAACCTGGTTTTTTTTTCCCGTAAGATCTTTACTATGCCCCTCATGTACGGGGATCACCATGTTGATGAAGCTGCCCGCATCTCCGTGTGCAGCCCACTTGTACGCTGTGAAAAAGATAGAGCAAAGGGGGAGAGGATAAACAGAGCGAAAAGATGGAAAGAAGACACAGCAAAGGAAGACAAAGGGGAAATAAGGGAAAGTAAGGAGTGTGAAATGACGACGGAAGCATAAGGATAAGAGAAGGGTCAGGAATCAGTCTGTCGTTGATGGCAGAGAGGACATAAATTTGTCAGAATGAGATGGATGAGGATGTGGAAGACCAAGCTGATCATGCTCAGTACAACAATTGCCACGACGGCTGGCATCAAGCATACCCGCCAAACACTCTCGACAAAAAAGAACGGGTACCGCAAAAAAAACATGCATTCAGGATAGCACCCATGGCCATAAAATGGACATATAGCGTCCCGATGCGGAGGGTGCCTGCAGTCAAGAATGGAGTGACGGTCCTTTGCACAAATGTACGCAGAAACCATGTCATTGTAGTGATTGTGACAAAGACGATGACGGCTACAGTAGAGTGAAACAGTCTTTGTAGCTCTGTAAAGGAGGAGGTCGGAAAATTTTGACTCACTGTTCTACTCCAGTATGGGATCAGATGGATGATCTTCGACATAAAAGAGTGTGCGGACGATTTGGTCCGGGAAGAAAATAGCATTGTTATGTAAGAAATCAGTAACATTAGTCATGGCATAAAGCATGGTGTCGTTGTCCCACAGCTCCCGATCGTCAAAGGCATGTACAATGGCCATGTAATGGCCAGGTTGGTGTACAATGCAGGCAGAGACGTGGGATGGAGGATAAAACCACTCACTTGCCTGAGCATTGCGTAGTTCAAGTTGGTGGTCCCTAATTGCTACTTGTAGGACAGCAATTGTAAAGCCTCCTTCCCCGGTATAATTAGCATCCTCTGCCTGTTGGTAGGGAAGATCAGCATCTCACGGAAGGGCAATTTCAAGAAAGTCTGACGTTGTATAAAGCGCGCAGTGAAAAATGTGAAGATAGATGTTATTTGCAGCCAGACCACAAAGATTTGGGGGGGATTTCAGGCTGGAGTGCCAGAAGGCAGCCAGCAAACATATTGTGGACCACCCACATGGTGTTCCAAGCCCAGATGTCCTGGGCTCTTTGCTGGTTAGTGTGGTTTATGCCTTGTGGGTCCAAATTTGCAGTTCAGCCAAACAATGCTGCTGAGCCATATGAAAATCACCCATGTGCTTTACTTGTTGTGGGGAAATTTGCAATTAGGGCAAAATTATTAGCCAATCCCTGGACATTTGGGCCTATATGTTGAGTACACAGTACTACACACTACCCCTGGAATTGGGAGTGTACCTTAGGCAAGGACCGTATCTTGTTGTGCAGGTGACTCTTGGTTATCTAATGGTGCAGGGCAAAAAACAAATTCTGGTGGTTGCCCGTAGGAAGCTGGACTGTCTGCACGGGCATAGGACCAGATATTGTTGTTTGCAATGTTTGGAATAAAGAGCTGCAAGATCCTGTGTAGCAGTCTCAGCGAGAGTCGAGTTAGAAAAAGAAATACGCTGCTGATCCTCAGACGAACAATGTTGTGGTGTGTGTCGTCGACAGTACACAACAAGAGTAGTGGTGTGGCAAAGCAGAGCTGGGCATGTCTATGACAATGAAGGTGGGAACAATGGGAACAATGGGAATAATGGGAACAAGAGAGTTTGTTTGCGAGTGAGACAATGGTGAAGATGGGGGTGGCAAGAAGGAACGCAGCTGTCTGCGACCAAGCCAAAAAACAGATGACAGATGGATCAAGTAAGCAAGAGTTCGAAATAAAGGATGTGAGTGTCGAAGAGACTGTAATATTTTTTGCACTGGGACTGCGGAAGAGGAAGTTGTAGCAGTGAAACTACAGGAGGGGGAATTCCAGCTGTGAAAATTGCAGCAGAGGAAACTGAAGCAGCAGAAACTATAGTGGAAACTGTAGTAGTAGGAACTGCCTCAGTAGTAGAAACTGCAGTAGCAATAAATAACCAAGCAGGGGCCTGTCGACTTTCAGAAGAGTCTGGTAGTCAAGGACAAGGTGGCAGACATCAATGATAGGCGACTGAAGTTGAAGGCCGAGTATACAGGCTGCCGCTCACGCCGCCGGGTTAACGCGCTACCTGCGCTAGGGATTGCCGCAACGTTGACCGCAACGCCACCATCATTGTGCCGAGGGGGAACCCCGTCGTCGCGTGGATCCGCATCCCGCCATCGCGCAACTGAAGATCAAGGACTGGCATAATTCAGAAACAACAAAATGGAGGCAGAACACCCAGACACAGAGAGATCCCAAAGGCCAGCGAGATCTTGACGGACAGAAGGCGTGCAACAACAAAAGCTAAGGAGAGGATAGGGGCGTCTATACAAACGCAAGAACTGACACAGGATGGGAAACAGAGGGCATTTTTCTCACGATTCTAGTTGGAGAGATAAAACTGACAGGTCCACAGATGGAATCTGAGAGGAATCTGAAATGAGACCACCATGCATGACACACTCAGACACCGGTTCCACATGAGACACACGGCGTTGAAGAGAGTTTCTGAAATCAACACCAACTTCGTCACCAGTGGCTATGGCCACTCAACTCAGCATGCAGGTAAGTCTCTCTCTCTTCTCTCTCCTTGCTCTCACTCTCATCTCACAGTCCTTGCTCGTCTCTCAGAATGTCTTCCTCTCTCTCACACTACAACTATGGCTATAGCACCCAGCTCCGTGACTACACTGCACTACACTCACTCTCACTGACGTGGTCACATCCCCAACGCACGAGACCGCAGCAGCGCTTCCGCATTGAGTGCCCAACACCTTGTGTTTTAAGTCCAGGAGCTGCTGGACTTTAATACTTGCTGATCCGCTTTCCAAGCGTCTTCTGCTGGTTATGGATTGCCCCCCCTTTCCTTTGTTCGCTGCTTCTGGAAGCGTACGGATTCTCCTTGGATATGGCTGCTTGGTCGGACTGACTGACACCTGGCCTAACGACCTAGGCGTCCTTGGCTGAGGTTCGTGGTGCCTTCTAAACATAGACTCCTTAACCCATAACTATATCTAACAGGAACTTCCTACCACAATCTACTTAACCAGCCTACCTACGCTTCCAAAGTTATTGTACAAACGAGAGCTGCTCTTCTAGACTCGTGAATATTGTACGAGTCGCTGGAACCACTAATGGAACTCAGAATGGGACTTGGGACTAGGGTCTGAGACTTGGGACTGGGACTTGGGACTGATACCTGGGACTCGTGATTGAGACCTGGGACTTGGGACTAGGACCTGGGACTCTGTGAATCCTTTCAAATGCATGAGAAGGGAATGCTGACAGTCAATCCCCCTGTAACAGGGAGCAAGCAAGGCTGTTCGGGGATCCTTCGGCCAAATGGAAGGTAGCATGTATGTGTAATTGATGTGTTTTCCTGACTCGCTGGGGGACGAGGAGTCGGACTGATGCTACCCAGAATGGATATGGAGCCAGGGCCATAAGGATCTGTTCTCGGGGGAAAAAAGCGCGTCTGCGAGCCGCTGTGGATGGAGGTTCATTTTCAATACCCCATTCGATTTCAGTGTAGGAATGCTGCTCGGAAGGCACGCATGTGGGGGAGGGAGAGAGAGAGAGAGAGAGAGAGAGAGAGAGAGAGAGAGAGAGAGAGAGAGAGAGAGAGAGAGAGAGAGAGAGAGAGAGAGAGAGAGAGAGAGAGAGAGAGAGAGAGAGAGAGAGAGAGAGAGAGAGAGAGAGAGAGAGAGAGAGAGAGATCACTTCGTTGATTATTGGACAGAATCCGAGAGAGAGAAAAAAAGACAGAAGAGAATGAGAGATTTTGTGCTCACGCCTTCGGTTAGCGCAGTTT